GAGATTTTCAAGTCTTTTAATTTTTCTTCTAATCGAAGTGGGCGGAATTGGGATTGGTTTTAGAAATGTCTAAACTTTTTGTTTAAGGACGTAGGTTTTGTTTTTTTACTGATTAACATTAGATTATTATCTTTCAAATAAAATCACAATTTAACTTCAAACAAGATATTTAAATTATTTAAATGGCGTTTTTTTTTGGGGGGGTCGCCTTTGTTTTTGTTTTTTAAACAAAGTCAGTGGAGGTGTACCTAGAAGTTTATAAACAATTTATTAAAATTATGTTGAATTTTTGGATGTTATTTTCGTTTTATTTCAGATGCAAGACTTCAAATCCAAAGAATGATGAAGGACTTTTTACTTTAGTTATTTTTGTTTTAAAAATTCTAAGACTTCTCGATCAATACGGAATTATGACCAGAGTCGGGGTAAAGAAGTATAAGGGAGGTAATTCACTATTTGGTATACGGAATAACATATTTTAACTAACACTTCCCGTTCTAGAACATATGGATGGCTACCGACAAACATTACCAAATAAGACACCTAATTTTTTTTTTTTTTTTTAAACTGTAGTGTAGAAGGGTAGGAACACAACTATGTCTAGGGCAAAGACCGAAGAATTCAGACATCACATCTAACAAACAGTGGAGTAACACCCTCTCCCCACAAAAATGGTTTCGTCTATATCCAAATTTAATAAATACTTCAATGAATAATTTTGTTCACGATGTAATTGTGTTCATACACTAGTGTAAACTTTTTCGTTTTTTTCGAGCAAAAAAAAAAAAAAAAAAATAATAATAATAATAATTTAGTTGTTAAAATCTTTTGAAGAAACTACTAATTCATGCTGTCAGTATCAATTTGTTTTTTTTATTCTTCTGACGCTTGTGGGCCATGGTTAAAATCCCGCACAACAGAAGGTAAGAGAGTAAAAATTAAGAGCAGTAATAATCAGTGTTAGAAACTGGTGGGTTTGCTTGCTTGAACCTATATTTTTCAAATGGATCTCCCCTTCAACCAATAGCAAAAATAAATAACGAGAGAAAATGGTCTCGTGAAAAGTTAACAAAAAGTAGTCTTGAATTTCAAGATATAAACAGCGATAGAGATGATATGCACAGATTCTGACACGAGGCGTCGCAATTATTACCGACATAATTAAATAATTTTTGTTGTTAAACTTTTGAAAAGTGGGTGGGTCTTGGCCAAATGTCTGATGTTGTCATAGCAAAGAAAGTCCTCTAAAACTACAACAGCTGCCGGATCCATCGTAATTTTTGTTCTTTAAAACTTGTTTACACAAATTTACGTGTAACCAAGAAAATGTGTTGATTTAAAGATGAAATTCTAATTAGTAAATTTAATACTCACCATCCCAGAATTGACGAATGTTATTTTCAGTCGAGTTATTTATTGAACAGTAATAATACGGTAATTCAATTATCGATATGAAAAAGTATAATTTTAGGAATGTAAGGTGTATAAAGAAAGTCGAAATAAAATTGAAAGAGTCAATGTTTAAAAATTGTAATTCAGTATAAAGATCAAGTGTTTCCCTTTTACTAATAAACGAAATTATTTCAAATTGCAAAGCATTTTTTATTGGTCACGATAACTTTTATAAAAACACACACTTCTTTATAGGATAGTAATTATAAAATTAAAAAAATTAAAATACCGAGAATTCAGAATAAGCATAAAAACATTTAGCCAAGCTACCAAAATTAAATGTGGTGAAAAGTAAAAATATTTTCAAAAATGATTTTATCGTCATACATATGTTTGTTTTATGATTTAATGAATGCACACAAAAATTGTTTGAAATATTTTTTATTTTTTTTAGTGTTGTAACTTTTTTCAAAATGGCGTCCGATGTTTGAAAAAGTTTCTTCTTACAAAAAAGGTCAGCTTTATTAAAATAATACAAATTTCCTGGTTTCGAATAGTAACTTTTGTATATACTTCATAATGTCAAGTAGCTTTTGATGCAAAAAGTGATTGTAAATGTTGAAAAAATGAAAAAAAAAAAAAATTAGTTAACGAGTCAAAAATCAAAATACAAAATTAAGTCAACAGTCAACACACATCACTCACTAAAAACTAAAGTAAAACTTTCCGATAAAAGATTTTTTTTAAGTAAAGGGCGGATCTCTTGTTTTGTTTGTCATAAATCACAATGAAGATAAAATACAAGAGAAACAAAGAAATATCGCTGCCTTCATAATGTTTTTTTATTCCTGACATGAACCTTAAAAATAAATAAAATAACGATTGCTGCTTTGTATGACCTAAAAAAATTTAAGGCTTGTTCTTCTCAATCGAAAGTTCTCTATTCGCACTTAATGAGCAATTATTCTTGTCTTGTTATTTGTTTTAGAACAAAATTTTGTCAGTTTTGTTGTTTTATCATTTTACTTAATCGACCATTTCCCACTCTAAGTAACAAAAGATGAATTATCATATCAAAATAAAAAAGGTCGCAGCTATAGATTCAAATCTATTTCAGCAGTGATAAATTAATTTTTCTAAAACTAAAAAAGCAAAGAAAATAAACCTTGGAAAGGCCCGGGGGGGGAGGAGGAGGAAATAACTCCGCCCACCAGGAAGAAAATCAAATGGGATACTTTAAAGGACTAGTAAAATTAAAAAGCATTTTCCAAAATACAAATAGTTCCACCTTCCATAAGTCAAGGGTCGGGCTTCTACTTATTTTAAAAATAAAATTCAATAAAATGTGTATATGTTGTAAGTAAGCTGAAATTTTACAAGTTTCTAAATTTTTAGCAAAACAACTAAATAATTTCATTGGACTAATGAGACATTTTTTTTGGTTCTCAGAAAAAAAAAAAGTCCTACGAGAAAATAAAAAGATTAATAATAAACTTGGAAAGAAATTATTTTTCATTTATTAGGAATCTTCTTGTTTTCATGAAAAAAAAAAAGTTCCAATCAAAAACCCATCATCTCAATGAGTGAATCGTAAACAAACAGGATTTACGAAATATTTCTGAAGAAATCATTCGCAAAAACAAATGACATTTAAGTAGGATTTTCGTTTCGTTTTAACGAAACGAAAATCCTACTCAAATCCTACTTGATTTTTTTAAAAGTTATTTCAGATAAAATGTAACATTAACAGCTATGTGATATTTTAATTTAGGATGCCAAGATCTGGCCTTGAACTCGACAAATTCAATGACACATTAGCTTTTTGTAAACTTCTCCAATCACTTTTAACACGTTAAAGAAGTTCAAAATTAAAACTAGAGTTCCGTAATATTTACTCAGTGTTACTGTTACATGCTTAATGTGTGTTAAATTTATCTTTTCAGATTTTATGATCAGTAGAGAAACTATTTCACATTGTTGTCACTCCTTACTTTCACCTCCCCTTTTTTTTAAAATGGTGCTAAAATAGAATTCGGTTAATATATCTGTCCCAGCCTTCATTATCTATATATTATATTAATTTTTGTTGAGAACAATGTTTAAATATATTTGTTGCAGTTATTTGTTTTTCTAAGAAGCTTAACTTTTCATCCGATTTTAGAAATGATGATCGTCGAAAAATGCAGGGTAATCAGGTGTTGTTACGTCGCACTACAACGGCCACGATGACTATGACTACAATGCTATTTTTTATCAGTTAATTGACAAAATTAAGTATTAAAAACGTGAAATATTTTTGAGACAGTTGCTGCAGTCAGGTTAAGTTTCTACATTATCCAAGGAGATAGTGAAAAAATAAATAAATGCATTAAAGTTCAAATGAGAAACGTTTTACTCTGAATTCAAATTTCAAAGTTATTTCGAGAAGCAGAAAAAAAAAGAAATATCAACCATAAAATTTCATTTTTGGAACAAAACACAGCAATTTCATAATTTTGTAAGAAATATTTCAAACAAATATTAAGCAGTCAAATTTATGAAAAAAAAAATCATTGGTAACTGATTATTTTCCAATTTAAAGAAAGAGAAACCAAGTAACTAAAAATACAAAAAATAAAGTCAATCTCAAAACACACAAAGCTTTGTCTTGTGTGACAGTCAAGTAAACAAATTTGAGTTTTATATGTCGTCATCATTTCTGAATACTTTTCAGTGTTGGACATGAAGAATCCTCGCAGAATCACCAAATACTTCTTGCACTGACCTATTTTCAACTACGGATGCTCATTAGTTTTACTTTTATTAACAAAGAGATGTTTTCAATGCCTTATGGTGGGTGGGGGGTAAATGGATATTTGATGTTTAGAAAGCTTAAATGTTAACATCTTATCGCAATTACATGGAGGTTTTACAAATTGAATTAAAAAACGAACCAAAAAAAAAAACTTTTGATTAATTCAAATTGCAATGAAAATAACACGCGGAAACTAAACATTATCGAAAGGGACGTCCTCGTTTACACATCATGTGGCTACACTAGTTTGACTGTCGATTTGTGACCTCGTCAACTTTCATTTCAGATTCGAAATACTACATACATTTTTCTGACTAGTGAATTGGTCACTCGTGTTTTTTTTTTTTGTTTTGTTTTGTTTTTTTAAACCATCCCTATTAATAAAACAGGCTAAGGGATTTCTTAATTTAGTTTACGCACTCAGGGGTTTTAAAACCATGCATAGAAACATTTCACATGTTAATTTAAAAAATACAATAATGAATGAAATTGCAAAGTAAAAAAGTATGAACTCCACGGGCTAGGAATAAAGATCCCACGTTATTTATTAAGACTTCTTTTTATACAGAAAATCAGTTTCTAAAGTTGACAATAGGAAAGGACGAAAGAGAATTACAAGTCTTAAAAACATTGACAATCCTATATAGAGACACTCCAATTAAGTAGGAAGAAAATAGATGTTAAGATTGAAGCAGGAAATACAGAATGTGATCATGTCCCTCGTGAATGAACGGACAGTAAGAGAAATCATGGTTTCATGAAAGCTTCACTCCCATCCATGTTGTTTAAGAAAAGTGAATATCAGTCTACATACCTACTGAATTGTAATAAATACCGTCCGTATGTCGAGTGAAGGTTTCGTCTGCAACGGATTTAAGCTGATACTTCAACGATTCCTTTGGACGAAGCTCATGACTGGCAGGAGTGGCACATAAATCTGATTAAACAAGAGTCGATTTTTTTCCTGACAGTGAAGCAATCGCTTTTTTGACAGACGAGACAACGAAGGGGAAGTAAGAGGAATGGTAAGAGGAACAGTTAGAGAAAAAGTAGGAGTTGCAGAACAGCGGCCCAAACAACAATTTTTTAATAAAAAGATTTGACAGCAAAGATATGAAATAAATCAGCACTATTTCGACTTTTTATTATAAAATAATGTTATTTTTCATAAAATGGTAGCATGTCATTAAGAATTTTTGTTGATCATATTTAAATGAAACAGATAAACTGAGACAAAAGTGGAAATGGAAAAATTTGGGATTGTTATTTATTTATTTATTTTTTAAACAAGAATAATTGAAACTACATATTCGGGCAGTACAACAATTATTCATTTAAACACTCATTTTAATTTTATACAACAAAACATCAAATCATTTCTGTTTGACTAAGTGTGTAGTGCAAAAATAAAAAACTAAATGAAAATTTGAAAAGCCTGCTGTGTTAACTTCGAAACTTTTTTTTTCATCAATATGTTTAGTTTATCTTTAAAGAGCAGTCAAATGTGTAAATGACATTTAATGCTAAAAATATCTTAAGGTGCTTCTTATTTTATGTTCTAAAAAGAAAACTATTTATACAAAAAATAAAAAAAGACATTTACGCAGGAACTTGCAGTGAATGTGGGAAGAGTTGATATTTTTTAACTGAATATCAAAGTGGGAGGCGTCCCATTCGAGTAAACGGAAACCCAAAACTTAAGAAAAAGTAAACATTTTTTTTTTTTGCCAATGTCTTTTCCTTTATAATTTACATGAGCATTTCTTTTTTATCGAACTCTTTAAAAATATTCACTTCACTTCATTAACTTTTCATTAAAAACTAAGTCTTTTTTTAACTCTTATTTTATAATTATCAGACTGAAATTGAAATTTTTTTTAAAATCATTTCAGTCCCAATTTTCTGATTTACTTCTGAAAAAAATAAAAGCAAATAAAATTGTCCAACAAAATAGTCATTTTTCTGCAGAAAATAAAATTTCACTCAGTTTTTTTTATAAACTTTAAATTAGTGTTAATTTTTTTCACATGTAATAATTGAGAAGAATTTATTTAATAAATATATCTCATTTAAAATAGAATATGTACATAATAATTGCATAAAGATCATGAAAAATCAGCGAATTTATTTCAAGTCCGGAGTAAATAAAATTAAAAAAAACTACAAAAACATGGCGCTGAAAGAACGGTGATAACCGAATAAAGTTCCTTTGAATAAATCCAGTTCGTATGTTTGTAGGCGCAGTATGCTAAGTGCGTAAATAAAGTATCTGACAATCAGATTGTTTCAGTGTATTTCTTTCTTTACGTACATTAATGAAATTAATTTTAATTTTTTTCAAAATATTCTTCATTGATCATGTTGATGTAATCCTGGGAAGGTCCTAAAAATCCATTAGATTTTTTTGTCAGTTTGTAAAATTTCTCCAATGTCAGGAGATACGATTCAAAAGTGACTACATGAAATGATTTTGAAAGCAAGAATATTCTAAGAGACTTAATAAAAACATATAATAACAGCTTATTTCACTGACAGAATAGAATAGCTGAAAGAAAAGGAATAACAAACATGCTTTGTTCTCAGAGAGAGTTTTATACCGCTAAGCCATACACAAAATTATATACACTTATTTACATGTGTCCCACACAGAGAAACTATTAAGCCATATATCCAACAACAAACCATGTGAAAAGAGGATGAAAAGAGTTTTACTTGTAATAATTCTCAAGGGGAACTGGAGCTGCTGGAGATTCTTCTGTGTTTCTGGGGAAGCCATATTTAGGATTCCAGATTTGCATGGGCCAAATTTATCTGCTGTGTCACTAGTGTGGACATATTCCTATCAAATGGAAAACAGAAGGACTGCAAGAGATAGTTTCTATATCTGTTGAAGAGATATTTTCATAGGGAAATGGTGATGGGCTTGTAAGCTGCTCCATCTGGCAGCCGGGTTGTTCAAGCAGAAGCTAGAGCAAAATGAACAACTCACATATCTTGACTCCAGGTAGTTATCTGATGGACTAGCCACTTTTATCACTCTATGAACTGATGTCAATAAACAGCCATCATGTGATCCACATGATTTCATCTCAAACAAAGGAAGATAATCACATTTTGTATCCCTACACCTATATTTGGATATGCTGGTCAATAGTGGATTATTTCTTAACTTTTTAAACTTTACAAACATAGAGTAGAGAGAAGCTGCAAACATTTTTGGTTATAATGTGGATTTTTTTAAACATATACTTTATTTTCCATATTTTTGCTACACGTGTTTCAGGTTTTGTGACCTTCATCAGGTGAAGAGTGGTTATTTAAACCATATTATAAGGAATTATATAATATGTAGAAATAACCACTCTTCACCTGATGAAGATTGCAAGACCTGAAACATATGTAGCAAAAATATAGAAAATAAAGTGTTATATATATTTTTAAAATTGGAGTGAATTGTGTCATGGTGTTCTTTTTCTCACAGATAGTGCCCAACTGACCCTATTATAGTGTGCAGTCAGCAAAATCAAAAACAAAGATAGCACATGTACAAAATTAAAATTATAAAATGACAACAATTTACCCATCACACTCTGTGTATGTATATATATATATATATATATATATATATAGTAATAATACAATATGGTAATCCACATGGAATTTCCAGTAGGATATAGATCCATGGAGAGCTCTATGTCAAAAGACAGAGCAAAATTATTATTAATTAAAGAATATCAAACACTTAAAATCCCATAGGTAATAATTTTTATTTCATGAGAGCTCTAAAAAAGCAGCTGTCAATCTTCAAGACCTTTGTTTAGACAAGATATCCCTAGACATGGGTAGTGGAAAGAGAACAGTCTATCCCTATCAATTAATTAACAGGTTCAGTTCAGCTATACACCTGATGAAGCCTGGAGGGCGCAACTGCCAAAATGTGATAACAATAACAAATATGAGGATATTAGTCTGCATGTAAATAGTGTAAATAATGATAGCATCTCATTCCAATGCATTAATCCAGTAGGCTATTCTTTGTGGAGACTTGAAGGCTTAGATCCAACCTGCCTGCTGATGAGTGTTGCTGCTGTTTATCAGGTATAACTGCACTCACCAAAATCACTAATAAAAAAAGAAAGACAAATGACAACAAGTCTTAGAAGCAGCTGTAGCAAAAGAGTGAGTGCAGTTAAACATGAGCACAGTAGGACTCATCAGCAGTTAGGTTAGGTTTAAGGCTCCAAGTTCTCCGCATGTATTAAAGCTTTGGTTCATGAATTTGTGGTAGCTGTGAGTTCAATCCCACAGTTTGGCTGGGCAGGGCTGTGTGTACTTGGACACAGTGAGAAAATGGCAAGCAATAACTAAGCAGTACTAAAAATAAGAACTAGACAAGATATCCCTAGATATAAGCAATGGAAGGAGAACAATCTACTCCCAGAGATTAAATAAAAGGTTCAGTTTAGAATTCCTTGTAAGTTACCTGGATCGATATACACTTGATGAAGACCAGAGAGCACAATAAAGATGAGGACAATGTAAGTAGTGTAAATAATGATAACTCCTTATCCCAGAAATTTAGAAAGAAATTAATGGCTTGTCATTCTCCCACTTACAAGGAGTTAATACTTTCTACTTTGCAATTTAACTCTACATTTTAACATAGCTATTCAACTATATTCAATTTACATTCAACAAACATCCAAGAACTAACATAAGCAATAATCAATTATCAATAAACTCAACTATTTTATTTCTCATCAAAGTGCTGAACTTTTAACTAAATGCCTAAACTATAAATTCTCCAATGAGAATTATACCAATTTCAATGTACAAGTAATCTATATTATAAAAAAACTGATTCATTGTTTGTCATACTCAATTATTATACATGCCATGCAACTATACATAATAATCTGTGACCAACTATAGATAACACTATAATATATCAATAAAATAGTACATTAAAGTTTATTTAGCCTAATAAGTGTTTTTCATTTTCATTACAATTTAATGCACTATTTTTTCAATGAATACAGTATAAATGACACCTCAAACTTGGCAAGCATTTTAATTTAAACATAGAGAAAATGTTAAAGGTGGCAAGACTCATCCTTAACAGTAAATCCTCCACAATGGCTAAAGAATGGAGACATTGGGTGAATTTTAAATAACTTTTTTTTAAGAATGTGAAAATGTCCCAGACAAATATCAAACCCTAATTAGTTACATTTCATATGCAATTTATGTGTTCATCTTGTCTGGTTTTCCTCACATTGAGAGCACTCCCACTGACTGAGAAAACACAGGTGTTATATAGCTCTCCCAATTTCAGCCCCATGCTGACTATTGGTTAATATTTGCCCAGTATCATTCATATCATTAGCACCACCTACTGCAAGTAGAATTTCTTCTCTCAACAGTCCATTGTGGAAGAGGATGTAACTCTTGGTGTTTACAGCACCACTCACAACCAATTCTGAATTTCTCAGGTTGACTCGATTCTCTGTTACAGTTTATGACAAATGCACAATGTTTTACTTGGCTATTGATGTTTTAGAGAAATTATGTCAAAATGCCAAATGAAACTTTTACCAAGCATCATCTTGCTATTTGTCAACAAAAACCTGGAGAATCTCTGGATGAATTTTTGCAAAAACTATGATGACTAAGCAAAGACTGCTTTTAAAGCAGTAACTAAAGAATAATATCGCAATGAGGTAATAAGAGAATCATTCATTAATGGTTTTGAATCCTCCACTCATACATAAAAGACTGCAAGAAAATAGAAGTTTGGATTTACAATCTGTCTATAACTAGGTTTATAATTTGGACTTGACTAAAAAACTCTGATGCTTACATCTCTTCAACAGATCATGCTGTAGTGTCTAGTACTGCTATTATACAAGCTGAAAGAATACCAAAAGTAAGTAGTCCTCTCGCTGTCACATATAATAAAAATAAATTATTCCCCATGTGTAATGTTAAATTGAATTGATTTTCCTGTTTTGGAAATGTACATAGAAGAAATATCTGTCCAGCGAGAGCATCAGTGTGCTTGAGTGGTGGTAGAATAGGACACTACTACAACTTGTGTAAACCCTAGCCTGGCAAAAGCCTAATGATAGCCATAAATGAACTTGTCGGAGTTACCTCCTCCTTCAGTTTGTAACCCTTTCACCAGAGGTCTCTCTTTCCCTGGCTATAAATAGCCAATGACCCTTCTGTTTTCTTGATCTCTTTTTATATATATTTTTCAGGCTTGTGGTTTCTTTTCCTTCTTCACTTAAACGCTTTTATGAGGTAAATTTCTCTTCTTCCTAGAGGATTTCAACTATCAACCTCAAAATGTAGTCCCTAACAAGAAATAGCGTGAAATCACGCTAAGCAATAAAATAGTCCCTAACAAGAAACACACGCGCTCGCACACACGGAATATTCCCACACACTTTGTCCTTTGTACTGTTTTCTTGTATTGTAACTTGTTATGAATATATATTTGTTGTGTATACATATATTATCGGTCTTGTTTTTTGTTTGCTTTTCTTTTCCTTCTTCTTTGGACTTAACCAAGTCCAACTTTTTTTATGTAGTTGGGCCGGCTAGCAGGAGAATCTGAACCTTACAGGCGTTTTGGGTCCACGTCTGTCTTCTCTCAACAAACCGTAACCGCCAACATAACAGCTACGGCCCTCTACAAACTGACATGATGCACCCTTATGACTACTATCCCAGAAAGCATATTATAAACAGCTGTTAATGTTTTCATTAATGAACATAAATATGCTTCTGAACTCAGACTGTTCAGAAAGTTTTATTAATGAGAAAATTGCCACCAGAGTTAACCTTAAAATAAAACCACTAAACTGAGAAATTTAATACTTTGACTAGTGGTTTTTGTGTTGTTGAATTAAAATTAAATAATAACCATTATAAGTCAGTTGCCTTGAAAGTTTTAAAGGACTTATGCAGTGACCTTATACTTGGCCAGGATTTCCAGAGATAGCATGTCTCTTTAGATAGAATAAGAGGACCTAAACTTTACAATTTTACAAACAAAACCCATGTGGACTCTCTCAGCTGCTTTGGTTAATAAACCCTCTCTTTTCTCTAATTTGTCATCTAAGTGTAAGCCAATGCTACAAAATCAAGGCATTTTTTAAAAGATGACAGGGACTTATTGGAAAGGAAATTGAAAACCTGTTGCAACAGGGCATTATTGAGCCTATCTCTTCTCCTTGGAGAGCCCAATATTTATTGTGAATGACCCCACTGTAAAGTGTCAGAGTAATGGGTGTAAAGTGTTTGCCAGTCAAGAGCTACCTTCCTACTGTGTTGTAGTAGCTTGCTTATATTAGTGTCATTTACCTGCTGCTAGAGCCTCACATGTGGGCAGGGTTGTCCAATATTATTAGTGGGCTACTGGTGTTGTGTCAAACAATGTCCCTCCTTATAATATGTTCGACATACTACTCTACACCCACCAAGAGCCATAGGAAGAGATTATATGTTGATTATATTCACAGACTATTAATCCATTTACAGAGCTTAATGCCTAGCCCCACCATTAATAGAAGAGATTGTAAATGAACTCGTCATTAATAGGAGGCTCTATCAGCACTGTATAGTGCCATTTGGTATGACTAATGGTATAGCTGTCTTTCAAAGAGAAATGAACAAGCTAATAAAAAAAAAAAGAAATTGAAAGACACTTTTCCTTATCTTGACATCACTGTAGGTGGAAAAATCTAGAAGAACATGATAAAAATATTCAAAAGTTTTTAGCAATTATTGCATCCAAAAATTTGACATTAAATGAGGAGAAAACACTGTTCTCTGTACCTTCACTTAACATCTTTGGTTTCTTGGTCGGCAATGAAATAATCAAGCCCAACCCATAAAGACTTCTACTACTCCAGGAACTACCCCTACCTAAAAACTTGAATTCCTTGTGATAAACTGTTGGCATGTTTGCATATTATGCAAAATAGATATCACAGTTCACTGATAAAATTCAACCACTGATAAAAAAAATCTTTTCCAATAAATACAACAGCAATTGTAACAGCTTTATGCTTTCTTCTTATTGGTTGGGTATCTGCCAACGAAGAAACATGAGAGACAGAAAAATCAGCAACACTGGAATCAAACACTAAAGAAGCCAAACACTGAATCTCAATAAGCAAAGCATGAACAAGACTTCTATACAGGAACACCACACATGAGGGATGAATACAGATGAGACACCGGAAACACAAATAAGGATGAACAGGTGACGCTGGATAACATGGACAGAAATCTTCAGTAACGCACCTTCCTCTTTTCAGAACATGTGCCTGCTTTTATGGAGCCCAAAACATTAGCAGTTGACTAGCAAAAGGAATCATTTGCATAGCTAACATTGCTCAGCTCACTGTCCGAACTATTTAATGAGGAAGCTGGTTGATACATTCTTTTTTCATAACTAGATGTTCCAGGGTTTGCACTGGCTCTCTTCTGGCAGGGCAGCAATTTACTTTCTTTCTGCAGACATTACACTAAACATTTTCTCTTTTATAGGGGTGGTTACCATTATCAGTACTGGTAAACAGCTCATTCTGCATCTTTTTTCCACTACAGGAACATCCCTACCAACTTGGCTAAATAACCCCATCTCTGTGCTTATTTATTGGTTTGTTCAAAATAAAAATGATTCTTATGTGGATGAAGCTGAACTACAAGATGTTACTCATCCTATGCTACCATTAGGTATAAATATGGATGTGAGTCAACTGATTACCTGAGGCACCATGTTCAGAGTTTCCAACTAGAAATAACAATGACGAACAACTTGAGATCTCCACTAGTACATTAAAGCTTATTTAATCAAATAAGTTTTTCTTATTTTCATTATACATGCACTGCCTGCATGTGACTTTGCATATTTTATGTAATGTATATGCATTTCTTTGTTGTATTTGAGTGACTTACATGTGTTTGTGCCATTTAATGTATACACAAGCACATGGACACACATAATTTGACTGAGTTTGAAATAAGGCATTGAAATAATACATTGCCTTACCACTCAGTCACGTCAACCACAGCCCTTGGATGAGCAATAAAATCATAAAACTAGAAACATTACTGGCAATTTATTGTTTGATGAAAAGACAAGTGTAGCATCTTCTGCCTTCTGCAAAATATACTTCAATAATTTTCTTCTATCTTTTTGTTTCCTACTCCAACCCAGAAAATCAATCCTAACTCTAACTGTGCAATAATAACTGAGCTTGCAATTGTTTATATTTCAACTACTCAGTAGAAGAATTTTTCATGATCAAGATACAATGTTGGTTGAAGAGGATTATATCTACTGGTATGACAAGTAACCCTTATGTTCTTTGAAGCTGAGATGATGTGAGTAAGGATTTGTTGTCACTTTGACTGGGGTTATTTACTTTAGGGTGTCACATTTGTTGCCATTTTGACCAGTAGAAGTCTTGTTTGGGAACAGTTTTGCACATAAGGTGAAATCATTTAAAACTTTAATAGTCAAAGCAAAGTGGCATATAATGATAGTGATGGATGTGGTGTTCATAAAAATTGCAGTGTTGTTTGTAATATACTTATGACAAAATGTTTAATGTTGTCACTGTCCTTCATGATAATGATAAGGAAAAAAATTTGGTGATGTTAAGTACAGCAAAATTAGCACGTAATATTACTAATAAAAGGATAGTAATGACTCCATTTTTATAAAATGTTATTTATATTTGATAAGCATTGGCAGAAACAGAAATGCTATTCATGAATAGAGAATCAAGGACATCTTTTAAAATTATTCTTAACTGGCCAACTTTCATGATTTTCCAAGCTGAATCTTTACACAAACATATGGTGAGTTTTCTGAAAGGCCATTGTTCTATGCATAAATATCTCTTCTACAAAAAGTCCAATTGGCCTTCATTTTCTTGTAATCTGATTACTTTTCTTGAAGGATGCACAAGAAGAAGCTTCTAGCTGTTGTTTTGATTAAAGTTCCAGTAATATTAGAATCTCTGTTCACAAAAGTAAAATTCCATTTTTATTCTAATAATTGATGTGACGCCACTGGTCAGTCCCGGTCACAGCCCCAAATTGTGACCCACTCTAACCCTGGGCTGATTGCAGCACCATTTGTGACGATCTAACCCTTGGCTGGTTCGGATGGAAATCTGGTTTACCATGGAACCATGTGTGACACTAACCCCTCTGGTTGTCTTGGTCATGGTCAATGTCTGGTTAGATTCGATATCAGCTTTGTCATTCCCAGCGCACCTCCAACATCTGGTTACTGAAGTAACTGCTTTGATCTCTAGTCTAATCTACCCACATTGTGATTTGATCTTAGATAGACGAAATCAATCAGGTGTCGGGCCATAGTGCAAGCTGAATCTGGGGCAAAGGTTATACTGCACAAGTGTCTGTAAAAGAAAAATAATGAAATAAAATCAAGATGTTCAAATGTGTTGAAAAAATAACAAGCCTCTTTGTATCTGTCTGCTGAATACAGGAGTGCATCTTTCTCCCAACCCGCTTCTATGGATTCATGACACTTTGCATTTCTTAAGCGAGTCTTGATATCTTAAGTTGTTTTTCAATAAACTGCTTTTTGGTATCTTCAGGCGATATTCATCAAAACTTGCTTTGGTAGTGTAAGTCTAAGATGTTCTTCAAAAAAAAATTGCTTTTGATTTGAAGTCTGTCGGAATGCGTGGAAATCTTTTGGTCAGCTCCTGCAAGGCTGGTCTCTGAGCCCAACAGCTCTTTGTCGATCTGTCTTCGATCTCCAACCCAACTCTATTCTCTGAATGCCCGGGGATGTTTGTTTATATGGACGCTGACCAAAACCGGGTTGGGGCCTGTCGGTGTTTAGGTTCTTCGATAATTTCAAATCCCCAATAAGGATTCTCTTTGTCTTTGGACAGGAAAATTTAACACTTCCCATTTTTGGAATTCAATTACTCTCTGTTTTAGAGGGGTTCTCCCCCTTATGTGGGGAGAGGTCTGAGGGGAATTATCCTACTAAACTCTTCTTTTCTCATATTGGTATCTTATACCAATCCCCTCAGTAGGCGCCAGCAGGTTTCCCTTCTTTCTCATATGTTCACCTTCGCCCATCACTCATGCCACCACTCAGCCAATGAACACTCGGCAGCGTGGGTGTGGATAGACTGGCCTTAGTTTACAATTATCGCCCAAAGAAAAAAATTATCTTCCCTTTCTTTCTTTCTTTTCTATCAGCCAGAATTCTTATAGACCGCACATCACAACTATTAAATTTTTATCTTATCTGGGAGTAACCTGGAATTCATTAGCGGAATTTTCGCCGACTCATTAACTATCGCTAGTCAACTATTTAACTGGGTGGTCGACTAAATCTCTTTGTCTTTCTCATCTCAACATTATCGCATTTTCAGATACCCGTTCTTGGTGACAGAAAGTCTGTTGTTAACAGTTTGAACAGGTAGTAACAATGATTTCCTCTTCTCGACCTTATCTCCTAATGTCAAGATCCGGGCATACAACAGATGGGTCTCCTCGCTGGATGCAAGAACCAAAACCAAATGATATCTCCGAAAGATAATCAGTGGCTATTCTTTTTGGGTGGTCTCACTGAAATTCCTTCCCGGTCGCATGCTTGACACAGTTTGTTTATCTTTTAAAATTCTGTTTTCCTTGTCATGTCATGACATTAATTAATTCTGACAGAATCCAAAACCCGCTTCTTTTATGAATTTTCTGTCTTCTGCGTAAAAATATCTTTCTTCGTAAATGAAAATAAAATCTTTACCTCCAAAAATAATGTCACTCGGTATGTCTTTCGTTATAGCTCTTTCTTGCCCTAAGTATTTCTCGTTTTTAATTTCCATGCTTAATTAGTTCGCCAATTACCATAGCTAAATAGTGTCACAATCCTCCCCTAACCTATTTTGTCATTTACTTGTAAATGACACCTAAATCCAAATACACTATTTAGCATGCATC